AAGGAGCTCCACCGAAGGTCCCCGTGGCGCAGTCCGCATGCGTCTCCCCCACCGAGTACACCTCCGTCGGAGGCCGTCGGAGTTCCGCGCCTCTCTCGCCCGTCGTCGCTCTGCCCAGCGGCAAGAGCCTTGCCCGCTATCAGCCAGCCAGCTAGCTCTCTTTGCTCCGCGCAGCGGGCGACCCGCGCGCGTCGTTGGGACCCCTCCGGGGCGACCTGCGCGCGTCGCGGGGACTCCGCGCTACGCTGCGCCCGCAGCCTTGAAAATTTGAGTGCGCGGGCAAAGAGGGAGTAAACAAAGGGGAGGAAGCGGGCGCGATCCTCGCGGGGGGGCGCGCCGACATCGGCGTCGCGGCGCGCGGGCGATGCCGTCGGGGAGTCCCGGGGAAGCTCCTTGCGGCGGCCACGCCCAGCGTCACGAGTACTCAGAGGCAGTCATTATCAAACTATTGACATTCATATACAATTACACCATGCTTGTCATACTCGCATTCATGCACGTAGATTCGCTCGCACGCAGATTCATTCACAGTCAGACGCACTCGCGCTCAGATTCGCCCGCGCTCAGTCTCCTACGTACTCAGATCAATCGTTTTTGTTCGCGTTGTGTACCACGCCATTCAGTTTGGCACGCCCCTAGCACGGTTCGTTGCCTCATAGGGATCACCACCGAAAAAGGGAATCACAATTGCGGTACTCACACCTGCATATGGTTGGGGTCTTCGTCAGGCTAATTTCTTTGTTTGAGACTGAGGGTGATATCCCCTGGGGTGGGGACCCCGCCACGGCAACTGGGGGGCATGGGGGACCGACGGGGTGGAATGCGCGTGTTCTGCGTCGGCGGAAGGGGGGGGAGAGGGGTGGGGGATCATGGAAGGATGACGGGGTGTGGCTCGAATCCTCCTGGGTCGCCGCAGCCCGCGCGCCGTCCATTTCCTCGTCGCCTGCGTTCCTCTCTGTTTCGCCTGCCGTCCGTCAACATTCCCCCCAAGTCCTCCCGTCCTCACGTGCCTCCCTGTACCGTCCTGCCTCTTTGTTCGATTCCGCCCTTTTTCTCCCCCGGTGCCTTCCTCCTCCGCCCACCCGTCGTACGCCAGCCCGCCGCCGGACGGTTGCGGCGTGCGTGCCCGCAGCGGCCCTCCAGGAATCTTCGGAGTCCTGGTAGGAATTCTCGGAAGCTGATTGGATCTTGCAAGATCGTCAAAAATTCCTTGGCGTCCCAGGAACCCTCACGACTCCAAAGGATCGTCAGGAATCCAGTGGGGGTCGTCAGGAGTCTCGCAGGAATCCTCTTTCGGAACTTTGAAAACCCATCAGGAACCGGCAAGAGTCCGCAGAGACCCTTGCTAGCAGTCTGCAGAGTCCCCAGGGGTATTTACATGGACCTTTGGAAACCCGCAGATGTTCCCACGCCCTGGGGACATGCAAAAAATCTCGCACAACCGCTCTTGTTCGAGCACCCACCCTCGACCCGGAGGTTCGCGCTGACCCTTTGCACTCTCAGGCCCCCCATCAACGTCTCGACGCGAAGCACTTGTACAGTCAACCCGCATAATAAGGATGGGCAGCCTTCCCAAGGGTACCCTTGCATCCTTGCCCGCTCGGTCCATCCTTCACCACGTTCGTGGGCCGCGCCCCGCTCGAAACGCTTCGAACTGGGCGTCCAAGGCCCTTGCATCCTTATCGCGTATCCTTATTCTGCGGGTTGACTGTGCTCAAGTCGTCCGGCAGAGTCGCGCTAAGTCGTGGGCCTTCGAGCCCGGGCAAGGGCCTTCCGGGGACCCTTTTGGTACCCACTGCCCGAAGAGAACCCCCGAGGGCCTCAGGGCGCGCGCCCAGGGCCTCGCGACTTCTCAGTCGCGGGCGGCCAGGCCGATCACTCCATTCAGGAGGGAAAAAGCACACAGACACAATTCATCGTCGACTCCCCAGAGAATTGGGGAAAATATGGGCAGTGGGTGGGAAGACAGAAATTCAGAAAATATATGAAAAATTTGGGAATCCTATTATTTGTGTGCATTTATTTGTGTGTCCCAGGGCCCCTTCATATCACTCCATGGCCACCCAGGCTCGGGTGGGCCAGGGCGTTTCAGCAGCGCCGTCAGCGGCGCGACCGCTCGAGCACTCATGGATTTCGCGCGGCGCGCGCATGCGCGTCGCGCTCAGCGCGGGGTGGGGCGCGACAGCGCTCAGGGCGCGTTCCTCCCTTACAACACGGCGAGGACTTGAATGCGACTGTCGCCCTCGTCGTCCGTGGCGATCGACCGTCTTCAGGAAGGTGGCGCCACGGGCGGCAGGCTTGTCCAGAAGACGAGGCCATCAGTCCATCGGGTCCAGAGGCGGTGAGCAAGAAGAAACCAGCCCGTGCGAGGACAACAAAACTCAGACGGTGTGAACAAAAAAGCCAGCCAGAAAGCTCGAACGCGCGGCTTCGGGACCTCCGGTCCCCGTCAGAGCAGCACGTCGCCCCCAGCCTTCTCGCGTGCAGATGACAGGCTCGAGGCGCGGGGTGTCGCGCCGTCTGCCTGAGGCCGTCGAGGCCCCTCGCAGGAAGAGGTTACCAGTCGTTGCCAGCGAGCCCAAGCAAGGAGTCCAGGGAAACGCCTGCACGTTTCTTCTAAGTTCGGGGGTGGACAGACCTCCTACCCCGACACGTCGATTAGTGACTTGTCCGTTCTCGGTTCTCGAGAGGGCGCCCCGGCCGTTACTTTCCAGGCTTGCGCCCGCCAGGTTTGGGCCGGAGGTCGTTTTCTTTAAACCACGTTTTGCTAAAGGGAGGTCTGCCCATCCCCGATAAGTGGACGAGTCAGCCTCACAACTTTCATCCGTGCAGCCCCCCAGCGCTTCACGTCTTTGGGGGGGCCGTCAGAGTGAGAGGAGCCTGCGGGAGTCTCAGGATCGACGATGCAGGTTCGAGCAAGCATCAGGGTGCGATTCTTTGTTCAGATTATCCTATGGCTGTCAGGATTCCTTTGGGCCCCGGAGCGTTCCTGGAGGATTCTTCAGGATTCCTGCGGATTCTTGTCGTTGGCAGAGGGATCTTTGAAGATTCCTGAGGTTTCGTTGGGTTCCTGAGAGGTCCGTCGGAATTCTTACGATTCCAACGAAGTCCTCCAGATTCCCACAGTTTCCTGAAGATCCCTGCGGGGACTCCCGAGGATTCCTGAGGTTTCCTGCAGGTTCGATGCCGACCTCTTGGAGGATTCGGGAGGATTTTCTAGGGTGTTTTATGATTTCCTCGAGGCTTCCCGTGACCCCTCCAGATTCCAGAGGATGTTTAAAGCTTCTAAAAGGGTCGAACATGATTTCTGTAGACTCTGGACAAAAATCTTGCGGGTTGTTGAAGGATCCCCTGTAAATAGCGTTGCGTCCGCGCTCCCAGGGCACGATCCTAGCATCGCACGGCGCCCGCATTCCCAGGGCCAAGATCCATTGGGAGTAACTGCGCCGTCGAGATCCAATGGATGTGTTCGGACGTCCGATCGATTCCTTTAGATTCCTACAGGTTCCTGGGGATTCTTCTAGGGTCCACGAAGGAATCCTGAGGATTCTTGCAATGTGCTGCCGGCTCCAGAATGGCCCGTGAAGATTCATGAGAGTTTCTCATAATTTCCTCGAGGCTTCCTGTGGGCCCGTCAGATTCCAGAGCATTTTTGAAGTTTCCGGATGAGTCCAGAGTTGTTCTTGAAGGATTCGCGAATCGGATTCCTGAAAGGATTCTTGCCAGTTGCTGAAGGATCCTTCGTAAGTTGCCTTGCGTCCGCGCTCCCAGTGCGCGACCCTTGCAAATGGCACGGCTTCCGCGCTCCCAAGGCACGACCCTTGCAAATTGCACGGCGCCCGCGCTCCCGGGGGCACGATCCAAGGGAAATTAACGTTGACTGTGCACTCCGAGGGCCACGATACCCCCCCCCTCGGGAATTTGTTAACTGATTTGACGTGCTAAGCTATCACGTGGGGGTCTATTCGGTGGTATCCCCCAGACAGGACTACTTCGGGCTTGTGGCTCAATCAGTAGCTCCAGAAGCGGGGTCGAGGATTGATCCCCAAGGTTACGTCCTGAACGCGGCGCCCCCTTTCGCACTCCTCCGTGGCTGCTTCACTCCTCTCATCTCAGGCTTGGTGCGCATGCAGGTCGCCTCGCCGCGCCCCCGGTGCTGGCCGACGCCTCGTGGCCCACGCCGCCGTTGACGAGCATCGGGCCTGGAGAGAACGCCCGCCCAGACACGTCGACAGGAAGTCTGCGCCAGTTCATTCGGCGTTGGCATCTGAGTGCGCCGGCGCAGTCCCCAGTCGGTTTCCCCAATGGACGTGCGTCTCGCGGGTGCATTCGATTACTGTTGGACGTCGATCGGCTATTCCGCTGGGGTCCACTCGGAGTGCGGTGCCGTGCTCACGCGGAGTGCCCCTGGCAGCTTTCAAGCAAAACTACTAGCTTACCCAGACATGCGGCTTCGTGATCATGTCATTACGCTTTCCCTAAATGTCCCAGCCTTTTTCCTGGGACATTTTTGTTCACCATGGACCGTTTTTGTGGGTGGTCCCGCGGGGCCCCCGAGAAGCCCCCAGAGGCCGAAAACGACGACAATAATCCCGTCCCAAGTCTTGTCACAAGGCGAACACGTTCGGGAGAGCGTCATCTGTCAATTTTCGAGGAAAAGTCTTTGGAGGAGTAGCTGGAGATGGGCACATTTGGAGCTGCTCCCGCGGCATACTCTAGGCCTCCCAAATGGGGTCGGAGTAGATGGGGTCGGAGGATCGCGCCGCAACGCCGATGCATCGCCGATGCGGCTCGATGCGGAGCCCGATTTGCTTCACATCGGCGTCGCTAATACATCGCCGACGTCGACGATGCATCGCCGCTGTATCGGCGATGCATCGCCGATGTATCGGCGATGCGGCACGATCCTGCGGCTATATCGGAGGCTCCTACATACCTTGGAAAAGGTGGGCATGTTCCACCTTGGCACGTGCGGCTGGGCCCTGGTCGCCGCAGGAGGC